CAAGGCGGTTGTTCCGCAGAAAGTGTGGCGGGCAGGAAGCGACAAGCGCTGGTTGCGTTTCAGGAATCAACTCTAGGGCCTTGCTCCGTTGACACGCAGCTTTGCGCTGAAAGCCGTGGCTAAGGCGTTCAACTAAAAATTGCATTTGTTCATCGCAAAGGAGGACCAAAGGAACCCGAACGAGTTGCAGTCCAGGCAAGGGCGGGCTTGCAGGTGTTTTGAGCGCCTCACTTTCCGACTTTCTCTCAGACCTTCTGCCCCTTGAAGATTCCGCAGAAGCTACCTCTTCCCATGCTTTCGCTGTGAAGCTCACCGCCATCCGGGCTCTACAAAAACAACACAGATGTTTTGGCTAGACTTGGGCGGGAGGGACTGAGGGACATGAGTTTATGCTCGAGACATTTTTCAGGACGGAAGGTCCCAACAAATAATTTGTGCTGGGCGCCTTCCTGCGCGATGTACACGCGTGAATATATATATATATATATATGTATATATGCATAGGTGTCCTTGTCAGGGAAGTTTGATTAAACATAGATGGGTTCCACTGGTTTAGGTGGGGTTTATTCCATGTACCAGGGCCATCTATTTTCCCAAAAGGCCACCTGTGCATATATATATATATATATATGTATGTGACTTTTATTTTTTGTGGATTTGAGGGAACAGAGACTAGGTCATTCCTAGCCACTCTGAGGAATGTGGTCTCCACCTACCCTGCCTCAGTCTTCCAGCGCTAGCCTTGGACAAAGCTCCCTTTGCGGCCGCGCGTGAGGTGACGTTGGCCAAAGCGTCGTGTACAGTTGGACACTTTGGCTGGCAAAAGGAGGTCTGCAAAGCACTGAATGTTGGGAATGGGTGTGCGGGAGTCTCGAAGGTAGCTGCTTGGGGCCAAAAAAAAGAAGAAAAGAAAACAAGGCGAAAGAGTGCGCCTGAAGCAAACCAACCAAACACCCCGCACTGCTGCGGCCTGTCACTTTCCTTTGATTTCCCCCTCTGTTTGGGATTTCGGACACCCCCATAAGGCCATTCGCTAAGATTCGCCTCGAGGAGCCTGCGCCCGGCACTCCGACCTCTGACGCCTTTTGGGCCAAATGGCCTTGTGCACGGGCGGTGGCAAAAAAGGCGCTCTGCACGGCGCGCCATGCGGAGTGGCTTTGCTGTGTGAGGTCCGGGAGAGTGATGGATGATCTTCGCTTTTCCTTTGCCCTGTGCCCTGTCCTCCCATTGTACCGTTTGGCAACGGGGCGGACTGGAGGGCATGTGTTTGAGCGCCGAAATTTACCCTTGGAGCTTTCATCGGAATCACGTGGTCCCGGCCCGAAGAAGCCAACGCCTGGGCAAAGTTCAGCCGACAGAGATGGGGGAAGCAGTGGTTTTTGGTCCGTTTCGCGGAGCGAATGCACTTCGGTGGCAGGGGGGTTTTCTTCGGATCCAGCGACCCGAAGGTGAATGGCATCCGGGAGGAAGTGCCTCGTTTGGTGGAGCAGTGCCAGAGGGACCAGGCGGCCGGAGCCGGAGCTGGAACAAAAGGGGGCCGGTGTTGGCGATGATTAGGTGAATCACGGATGCCACATATCGGGTTCTCTTTAAACCTCATCTGATACACGCAAATGCATGTATGTGTGCACAAAGCATATGTATTTATATATACACGTATGTGTGTATACTGTTGGATACACATGCATGTGTGTGTGTGTGTCGGTTGTCAAGTTGGCTTCTTGCGCAACAGCTTCCCTGCCCACCAAAATCCCCTTCTTGACTCTTTGGTTTTCTTAAGCTTCAAGCAATTGCATTGGGGAAGCTGGATTAACGTTCAATGAATTGTCCCAGGGATACGCTGCTGTCCACGGAACCTGACATTCGGGGATCCCTTTCACAGGAAAACTGTCTTCCAGGACCCCCCGAACGTCAGGTTCCATGTTGATTGGTGGGAGGGCATCACTTCTTTCCCAAGAAGCTGACCAGCTCAATTCCTGAGTTCATGGACTTTAAACAACCTTTTGAGTTTGGACCATTTTTTGTGGTAGACAAACAGTTTGGGCATCTTTTTTGCCAACCCACTCAGGAAGTGAGCCAGAGTCGGCAACATTCTGGACAGCCATGGCAGAATTCACATTGTTCAATTGTTCGGGATCAGAGGCTGCCGCACCAAATTGCACCTGAGCCAGGACTATCCTCTTGTAGAGTGAGGAACCTTGGTTGTCTATACCATTTGAATGGCAGTTGCTCACGTCCCGCGAATCCTAGACGTTTTACCTAGTTGCCAACATCAGAGGCTTGGCGTTTCCTGCCAGCTAGAGTGGCTCTACGGGTGGCTTATTCAGGCCAGTCATTGATTGAGGCTCGCGGTCCAGCAAACGGATTGGATGCGCTTTCTGTGGTTTCCCCATGTTCTTTGGCGAGTTGTTCCTCTTTTAATACTCTTTTAGTACTCTTTTGCTCTCCTACAATGGATCCACAACCGCATCCAAACCATGTCCTAGAGCCTTCCGGAATTGATCAACCCTTCCGGGTAGCTGAAGCGAGCGGGTCCGGGCGCCTGCGTCGGCCATTCGCGCCTTGACCATGCCGGCAACAGCTTGGCTCTGACATACATGCATCTCTGTATTGCATTGTATTGCATTGCATTGCATTGTATTACCTTGTTTTTGTTCAATGGTGTGTATGTATGTATTTATGCATACAGGCTAATCCTGGTTGTTTGTTTGTGGGAATAAGCCAACATGCAGCCAATATCAGTAGGTTGTGGGACCTGGGGGGTATCGGCCGCACGCCTGGAGGTCCTGAAGATGAAAGTCCAACGCGCCAAGTAGGCGGGCGGTCGACTGTTCGGTGAATGGTTTGCATCCCGGCGGGAGTGGTAGAGTCATGAGGCCGCCGTTGTGTCCTTTCACGTCCTTTCCCGTTTGGAACAGCATTGGCGTTTGGAGGAATGGCATTTCTGTTTTGTTCCGGGCCTTGATTCAAGCCACTCGAGACGCGTCCGTGCTGTTGGCTGGCAGTTAGGCAACTTCAGTTGATGCTAGCCGAGGGTTTGCGGTTGTTTCCGGTGCTGTGAATAGCTGCCAGGTCACTTTGATGAGTTTCGTGCGAGCAGCGGTTCATGCTCATTGTCATTTACGATATTGAAAGTGAATGACTTGGGGGGCACACTGGGCCAAATCACCACTAGGAAATGGTGGGTCACCAATGACAAATTAGAATGTTTTGTTGGGTACGGGCACGATGATTCGTTTGCCGAGTTGCTCTTGTGTGCTGCGAGTAGCGATGGCTTCATTTCAACAAGTGGTTCTTTGTTGCGATACAGTTTGAGATTGTTCTAGCAACTAGGGGCCCTCTATAAATGGGATGCTAGGAAGTCAAGTCGCACCAAGTTCTTGGCAAGCGGAGGCGCTCTGATGGCGCTGAAACCGGGATGCCACGGGTTTTGCAAAGAGAACTTCGATCCGCGCCGTGCAAATGCAAAGGGCGCGAGATGTTTCACACCCTGACCCGGGCAGAGTCACTTGCTCAAAGCCTGGGAAAGCCTGGGAAAGTGGTCAGGGACAATCTCCTCAGATGGGTGAAAGGATATCCGCCTTTTCAATTCTTGAAACATGGTTCTGGGAATACGACCATTTGAAGAGTGGGTTTTGATCTACCCTCAGGTGATTCTCACACACTTTACACTTTTTCCCTTGGTGGCTCTCCCTTTATTTTAGTGGTGGCCCAAAAAGTGTACTCTTTTTGGGCTAGTACTGGCCAAGTGAGGATTGAAACAGGCATTTGCACACAGTCTTAGCGCATACAATTCAGAGCTAAGGCCACACCCTGCCTTGGCTTGAAGATCAACGCTTGCCCGGGAAAGGGTCCGGGTGTAGCAGATAAGAGCTGCACACTCACAAGACCCCCTGTGTGCGTGGGAGAGAGCAGCATAAACGTGTACCTAGTATACATATACATATATACATGAATAAAGAGAAAACAACTATATACTGTGCCTAATCTACCTTTGTCGCTCTGGTGTTACCAGCGGCTCACAGAAGACAGCATTGATGGGTGACGCGTCCGATCGCCTCGAGCTGGACGCGTCGTTTGCAACTCGACGATGGGTTTGTTTTGGTAGTGATAGCTGACTCAACACGCACATTTAGTCATGAAGACCTTTATGGGGAGTGTAATTTGCATGCGTGCAGCCCTGTGCAAGCACAGGTTTGCGCTCAAAGTATGTGAGTAGTGGCATCGGAGCAAAATGGCATGCGCAGAATGTGCAAAGATTCAAGATCAGCCGTCAGCAGTGTTGCGCACAAAGGCTCTCTCTGTAAGTAATGAGACGCATGGCAATAGGGATTTGCAAGCTTGGAGGTCCAACCAGCCAGCCGTCAGGGCAGCACATTGCGGTGCGGCAGCTTGTCGTTGTCGCCGATGGTTCAGTGGGATCCACTTCTTGTCCGTTCGTTTGGTCAAGCTGTCGGTTCCAAAGGCCAAGCAGTCGAATTGTCAAAAGTTAACATGAGTCAAATCAAAACCTGGCACTAAAATGGTGCACCCAGAATCTAAAGAAAATCACCTGGCAGCACCCATTTTTGGTTGGGATTATCCCTTTCTAACCTTCATCTACTCGGGTTTTGAGCACATGGGCGCCACGCTCCGCCGGCCGTGGCACCTGCGACACGCCGCACACAGCTTGCATGTGCAATTAGGCAGCATAAAGCCACGCAGGAGGCTCGTGATATTTTACATGAGCCACGTATGCAACGTGCATGAACTCTAGAAGGCCTCTCAATGGCAGTATCTGGCAGTTCAGCAGCAAGCAGTCTTGAATATTGACATCCGTGTCAGCACCTTTGCGAACTACAATCGGCTTTGAACACTCGCATTGATCAACACTGCTTGGAATCTGTCAAAGTGCAAACGTACCGCCGGAACGTAATATTCCTTCTATCGGCTTGACAGAGGGTTAATCGCTTGAATAAGGAGCTCACTGTTCACCTTAAACAAGTCAAGCACGTTCTCCACCGAGCCGCGCCTCAAACTTTTGGCGATGCGACCGGAGTGTAGCCACTGCCGACGAAACTCCAGATGCTTCGTCATGGCGCCTTTGCAATACCCACGGCTCAGAACTAAGCACACGCACTCGCGTTTCGGCCTCCGTTTCATTACATCAAGTCGAGCTGCAATGTGTCGAAAGGTCTCGCAACCTCCAACTGGGTTGGTTGGTGTAATGGCACCATCCACCAAAAAGGCGTCCTGGCGTTGACACAGGTCCCCTCTCTCGGGTAAGATAGTGAGGAGCAGGAGCCTCCAAGAGGCGAAGATCCCAGCCATGACGAACCGGGATGTAGGCTTTGGCTGTGCACAGATAGGTCCCGGCTATCTCAATGTTGCTGTGGGTGAGCGCCTTCAAGATGCTGCATGTCAATGCAGGATCAATGGCGGAGCACATTGTTTGTGCCCCGGTGGCATTTACCTTTTTTTAATTGACTTAAGAAAGGACAACTCAGGGGAGTGGGGAGAAAGCACGCAATGAAGCACGCAATGAAGCACTTGCGGGGCCAGGACCTATAGCGGATGGCAACCAAAGACCACAGGTCACTGAGACGTGAGGCCTTTACACTAGGCACCCTTTGCCTGCTTTGCCTTTTGCTACTGGGCAAGTCTTGGTTCACCCATGGAACAGAGCACCCTGGTTCCGGGCACTCTTGGCACTCTTGGCACTCCAAGAACTCATTGATAGATGGGATTCACGATGTCGCCGGTCATCATTGTCATCAACGGTTGTGAAGGAAACAACATGAGGTACACTCAAGCACCGTCTAGAGGTGGAGGAAAAGAGTTCCAATGTCAAGACAGGGGACGATGAAGATTGACTGTGGTTGGCATGATGCGAGCTCTGAGTAAGATCACATCAAGAGCAGGGTCAATTGGGCATGTCGAAGCAAGATCATGTTTCAACTATAGGTTTTATCCAATGTCTCGATACCAACCCCAATCGGGAAGCGCAGTGAGTCTGAGGTCCCACCAGTACAGCTACCAAGGCCGGTTACTCCGTTGTGCGACAGACTTTCTTGAACTCTACGTTGTGAAAGCTACGGTATTTTTGCTGGCCCGATTTTTGAACCCCCGGCATTTATGGTTCGGGGGCAAGCAGGAAACCAGGGTTCGACACGGGCGATTGCATGAATTCTAACCATCGACTCCGACTGCAGAGCTAAAGCACAGAAGGCCCATGTGTGTTGTGCATATTGTTATCTCATGTGGACTGGCTTTGTGGATGACCAGTGAGATGGAAGGGAGCGTTTGTCATCAGGTCCAATGATACCCAAGTCACACGGATGCTTCTAATCTTTGTTCAAGGGCACCACAGGGCCCTGTCCTGGCTGTTGTTGGGAAACATGTTACATTTTTGCTTATGGTGGTTTAGTGGTTGAAATCCAACCACTTAACCGCTAGAATTTTCACTTTTTTGCTCCCCTCCCAACGTCAACCAAGCTAGGACTGGATCCAAGGCCGGGCATTGGCACCAGACTTGTTTGGATGCCTGGACTCCATGGCACCTCATCTTGATCATAGGTGTCCTTTTTGGCTGTTTTGGTTTAAAAGAAATGGTGATTCCTGGTTTACCTGGTGGTTAAGGCCATCTATTTCCCAAAAGGAGACCTATGATCTTGAGCATTCATGAGCAGGGGGCACTGTAGGTGTCGTCCTGACAGACGCTCTGGGTGTTTGTCTCAATTGCGGACCCCTCCAGGTGGGTTCCTTGTGGCTCCTTTTGGAGCCATCCAAAGAGGGGCTCACAATTTTGAGACGGGCTCCGCTGACCATGTTCTGAGAAAACAGGAAGCGCCCATATTCACGATAAGCTGTACCCATATTCGCGATCGCTTTCACTTACAAAGAAACACGGGTTGGGTACGCCACACTAGGCACCCCTTGTACCAGCCTTTCACGAAAGTTTCACAATTGGCTCCTTGGTTCCTTGAAGGATTCCTGACCTTTGGGCTTTGTTTTTTTTTTGTGCATGCCCGATGGCCACGGCCTTAAGCGAGATTGACCAGTTTCAGCACAAGCCAGTATACAAGCCGATGGATCCACTCCAGGATCTAGTCAGCGAAGCTTTGGTAAAATTGCAGACTTGGATTTTCATCGCCACAGATTTGGCAGTCTAAAGTCTTCATCCGCAGATTTGGCAGCACCAGTCTAAAATTGCGGCAGGTTTCCGATTTTTCCCCCAGCTTCAACTATCGAAACATCGGTGGTCAGGGTCCCTCAATGGCGCCATCGAAGCGACGGTCCAGGCCCATGGGAGAATCGGGCGCGGGGAGAGTCACCTCTGGAGGACTCACCGTTCTTGGTTTCCATTGGAGAGACAATGCGAGGGCCAGAGTTGGCCAGCCCTTTGCAACCTTTGTTTTGGCCGTGTTGGCCCGTTTTCCCCAAAATTTGTCAGAAAGGAGAAGCCAACCAGATCTATTGCAACCGCCCTCAGTTGGACTAGAACTGGGGCCTTTGTTCAGGCGGAACAGCTGAATTGACAATCACGGACTAGGCTTACTCTTTGGAGCTGAGACCTTGATCCATTTCTTTTGGGGGGGGGCTCGATCCATGGTAAAATTGGCTGGTCTACTTGAAGCTGGCCTGAATGGTGGGCTGGCTGCGCTTGCTCTGGGGCAGTAATCAACATCTCAACACCTCCAGGGTTCGACGGCTGCTTTTTGGTTTGATGCTTGCCGTGTATCTTCTATCAACATGTTTTCTTACTTCCTAGCGCCGGATGGCACGGACATGTTTAGGATTCCGGGACACTTGCCGTAGGCCATCTTGGCGCGAGTTGCTTCAGTTGCTTCAACCCAACACTTCAAACCCGTGGCTGGACAGGTTTAATTCCCGGGGACGGTCCAAAACAAAAACCAACCGACGGCAAGAAGCTCATCGCGGGCACGAGGGTTGAACTGAGGACCTGGACCAGACTCCGGCCAAGGAAAGGCTCGCAAGAGGTGTTCACAAGGATCTACCAGGATGGCCCGACCAAAAACCCTCCCGTTTTTTCATGGAACCTGACCGCCTCCGCCTCTCTTCGCGCGCGCGCGCGCAGGCCTCGGTCTTTCAGGACTCGCGCAAGCCGAATGGACGTGGCTTGCGGCAGTGGCTCTGGCCCAATTTGAGGGACACGGGAGGGAGGTAAACGATGTGAACAGAGATGTTTCGGGGCAATTCGGGAGCCAGAGCAGCAAGGACTTGTGCCTGATTGCTTCGGGTGAGAATGAGATTACGTTTAGTTTGGGACAATGGGGGACTTTAGTCAACGAGAAAAGCAAGTTGGGCAAGTTCGACCTTTCCCGACTCCACAATGTTGTTCCCTGTGGAAGCCAAATAGACCCCTCTCCACATCAACCTTAAACACCATGCTGTCTTAAAATGCGAGTTTATGCAGGATAAACACAGAATTCGAAATGTGTATGTGGCCACAATGTTCAATAAGAAGAGCCTCAAGAGTGGTTGGACATGAATGCCCGTCCGCCCATTTTCAGGACCCACTAAAACCTCAGTTGTTGAATTTGACCTTTGGTTTTCCCTTTTTGGTCCATGTTTCGTCATGGCCCTAGGTTAGCCTTTTGGTTTCGGGTCCTTTGAGCTTAAGTGAGGAGCTCACTAGGGGTTGATTCCTTGTCCATTCTTTTCAAGCATCGTTCTTTCCAAAACCGGATCCGTTTTCGCTCGGTTTCCGGCGGTTTTCTAGAAAGAAGGATCTTCTGGGGCCTTAAAGGACTGTTTCAAAGCAGGTGCGGGCCGAAAAACCACTTCTGATCGGCAAACGGCCGGAACCGGTTCGAAAGAATAGGGAAGGTACCCCTAGAACTTCTGCGAAGATTCGCCTCCAAAGCCGCCGAGTTCTCAAGAAACGGCCAGGGCTTCCTGGTGATTTCCAAGTCCCCGCGATCTCGAACCTCCTGTGGGCAAGGCGCGGTCTCCATGGGGATGTGGATGTCCTATCCATGTGCTAAAAGTGGGGGGGCTGTTGGATGCTTTGAATGAGAACCAGCAGAAGCCAACCAGTTAAAAGCAAGATCCTCGCTTGTTGGTCGCCAACGCACGTGCGGATGGAGCTGACATCAGCTGAGTCCTTGCCACCAGCCGCGAATGTGTAAGTTGCAATCCCACGCGCTGGCCACAAGGTTCATATCGGCGGCACGTATCTAGGCGGCAGGTCCCAAAAGGGTCCATACTCCTTGGCTGGCAGAAAAAGTCTTGCTGCCCCATGTCCAGGCGTGAAGCTTTGGATCCATTCGGCAACTTGTCGATGGCTTCCAGTGACTCGCCGTTTTGATGGGCAGGGAATGAGAAACGGAGTGCCCCCAAGAAAAACGATGCCCTATGGCTTCCTTTAATGGAATGACCCCGATTGAAAGCATGCCCTATATCGTTTCTTTTTTTTAATGGAATCCCAAACGGGTCATTCCCAACACCATGAGTCGCTGGGTCATTCCCTACTACTCGGTGAAGGGCGGTTGCACCAAGACTCGGCAGCCCTCTGGACTCTTTTGCGCCTTGAAGGCGCCGTAGAAAAAATCCCCTGCGCTTTCCAGCGCTGCGAGCAGAACCAAAGCAAAAGAGCAACAGGCTAGGCAAGGGCTTCTCAATCAGGCAGATGCGGGAGTCTTTTGTGTCTTGGAGGAAGACGTGTAGGGCCAGGCCCCTTGCTTCGAAGAACATTTGTGCGCTCAAATGCTTTGGATTCGCCGGCAGGCTCCGTGCGCGAAACTCCTAGCGGCTGCTTGCCTGCACATAATATGTCAAGACCAAGCTTTTCTTGGAAGCGCGAAGGATCCAACCACTTGGAAGCCCTCTTTCTGAAGCGCATGTGTTGTTTTGTTCCACACGAATCACTTTGGCTCTCGGAGAGCTTTTGACCAGCCACCAACTGAGGGCTTGAGCTTGGACTGAGTTGGCGCCCAAATGGGTATGGGTCAAAATTAAGCCACCAGGGGACCGCAGGTTTTGGTCCATGTTTCCATTTACCTGGGTTCCATTTTGGGTACCTATTTTTGACCCGCACCCAAATGATGTCATGCAAGTTGTCTAGCCTTCGCCCTTTAACAGGTTTGCGCGAACCTCCCGCGGAGGTTTGCAGACCGCAGTGCCGCTCAGAGACGCACACGCCGCGTTGCGCGACGAGGCACAGAGCGGGCGGCGGCCGGGGGGGGGGGGCGGCTTCGGTTGGATTGAGATATGCGCCTTCGGTGGAGGTTGCCAGGTTTGGTCAGAGAAGATTGCGGATTTTGTGCATCCCTGAGGTTGATTGGGGGTGAGCATCCTGTTTTGGAAGAGATGTGGGGTCATTAGCTAGGAGCCCAGGGTCGCAGAATGTTGAGCCAGGGCTTTTTTCTCTTTGTTTTTTTTCCCTGGGGGTTGTAGAGGGGGGTCACATTGAATTCGAGGACCCATCGGCCTTGGCTTCCCTTCATGTTTTACCAGCAACCCAAATGCTCCTCATGTTCAAAGACGCATGCATTGGTTGTTGTTGCTTGGCTGCAGAACCCTGGCTTGGTTGGAGTTGCATCCCAAGATGCCACTCGCCAAGCGTGCACAGCACCCATGACCGAGAGGCCAAAGAAGCAAGTTCGAAGAGCTCTTCGTATCGTGAGAAGCTTGCCCCTCAGAGTCGAGCCGCATGCCCTGAGGCTTGTCTTCGAAACCTATGGAAAGCGAAAGCTGCACTACTGTGGATGGACAAAATCCTGCACCACCTAAAGAACCTAAACATGATTCTTCCCCTGTAAATACCAACAAACAATGCTTTGTCATGGTTTCTTAGGTGGTGCGATCGGATTTTGTCCATCCACAGTATGTTGCGAAGGGTAAGTTGGATTCCAGATGTACCACTCCCCTGCTCGCGATTTTTTTTGGCGGCCTTTTTGGAGGGTCCTGGGGGCGAGCTGGTTTTGTGGGTAAAAGCCGATGAAATGCAGTGACATGTCTATGCTGCATGTTTCGACCAAGATGCCCTGAGCAGGAAGCGATCAGATTGCTAGCTAGGTCGAGTAGGTGTTCTTCAAGCCCAAAAGTTGTCTTGGAAGAGCTGTGACTATGAATTTCATGAGGACTACCTCCAAATCCAATAACAAATGTCCACCGGAGGGTCACACTGCAATTCGCACATGGGGCTGAGTTCAACTCTCTTGCAGAAAGACCAATGGCTTACTCCCCCTTGGCAGTAGGTCACCCCCCTTGTTCACTAGACATCACTAGCTGGCTGCCGCCAGGATTCAAGATGTCCTGGAAACTGTTCCTCAAATGCTAACGAGTTTCAAACACCTGAAAGATTGTTGGGTCCTCTAATGTCTTCTATACATTGTGAGGGCATTTCCCTTAACCAATTGGTCTTCATATAGGAAAACAAACAACCCTGCATGGAATTTGCCCGGAGCTCAGGTCTTTTTAAGCATCCAAGGTCAGCCCTTCGAACATGCAGTTGGTGGCTCTCGGCACGCCTAGTGCCTGAAAATGTGAGTCTGCTATGGTGCCCCCAGTTTTGAGAACGCTGCTGAGAGGGCCGGCTCGTTTTTGTTCAGGGCGCCCCAGTTTCTTTGGGGGTCCAACCTAAAAAAAGACACACTTACAGTTTCCTTCTCGGGCGAAGAATTTCCCTGCCGCCTTGGACCCGCGGGGAACGCGAGCGGCGATGTGCGCGAAGCGGTGAGGCCCAAGCGCCCCACTTTGCCGGCAGAATACCTGCAGTGCGCCCGACCGCGAACCACTCGCTAATCGCGCTGGGTTTGGGGCAGCGAGTGAGGTGAAACTTGAAAGCTCAGAAGATGAGGTCCCGGTGTCCCCTTAAGGCACAAATCAGTAAGGCACAAAGCAACAAGAATCAAACAGGGGTGGCCTAATCTCTCCTATATAGCTGTACAGGCAAGTGGCCTGCCACGCAGCAAGACTTGCCCCAAATCCGATTCTCCAGCCAATCAACTGGCCTTTGAAGGTAAAGCAAAAGGAAACTTACCCTCCAACCATCATGGAAGCTGACGATCGGTTTTGGGAGACGAAAGCTTTCCTTTTCGATCGTCTTCCATGATGGTCGGAAAGAGGGTACTGCAATTCATCATATAGGTTCAGATTCAACCATGTGTAGCATGAAGCATAGGACTAGATTCGTTTCAAATCAGGTCAATCGAAGGCATGTAGAATCCTGCAACATAAATATATGAACCCCTGGTATGAACGGTGAGTTTCTGGACTGATTAGCGATTTTGCAGGAAATGGCTTATTTGGGATTGTGTGGGAAACCAGCCACCAAAGGTGCTCCCAAAGGTTATGGTGAGATGGCAAGCGAAAACAGGTTGCTCCCCTTTGGGCATGGCGATTCGAGAGTCTCCAGCCCAAAGACTTCAGCAAGAAGAAGTGAGTCACAATCAATTTCCGGGTAATTGGAGGCTAAAGGACAATTCCGTTGCCATACATCCATGGGTGCGGCTGCCCTTTAAATGTACACAGTTCTAAACTATACTCAACAGGGCTTTGATTCTGTCTCCAGTTGGGTCTAAATGGCAGGCAGGTTGTCGTCAAGACGTTCCCTTGGAAAGGTGGTCGAAAGGTCAATTTTTGCGGATCTTGGTTCTTCGGCCGGCAGGTCGAAGTTGTTGCTCGTCGAATTGGTTGCTTGGCCAACTCGACGTTTGAATGGGGATCCAGCAAAACAGATGGTTTTTAATGGTAACCTGAAGGGGATAGGATCTATCCTTGCTGTAAATGGCCAACCTGGTTGGAGGGTTGTCAAAGGTAGGAGCCTCCTTCCACCTTCCCAACGAGCCGACAAGAGAGTGGCCATGTTGAGTGGTTTTTGGAACCCCTTTTGTTCTGGGAGAATAAGTGGGTTTGTGTCAAAATACCCCACAACTAGTGGTGTTCCTTTTGGTGTCCCTCAAAGCCAACCTCAAAGTTTAACTCTGAAGTGTCACAGAAATCCTTGGAACCATCCCTGGAAATCTGAAGACGGGCATTTTCAGGCAAACCTCAATTGGTTCAGATTGGTTTGGATTTTAACCGTTGGTTTTAGAGGGTACATGGGAAACCACTTTATAGTACTCAACGACCAAACCTTAAGTTAAGGTAACCTCTGGCTTGGATGGTTGGTTGGGTTGGTGGTTTGGGGATTTGAACCCCTGGCTTAGAGGGCAAGCGTCCCACACGGAACACCCAACCACCGAATCTCGGCTCTAAGCCACCACCAAAACCACCACCAAAACCACCAAAACCCGCCAACCTCTGCTCCAAAAGCTCCGCTCGACGCCCAACAGCTCCGCCGGTTTCTCGGAGCTCGGCCCGGAAAACTTCAGGTACCTGAGGCCGGGGAAGCGCCTGAACTCCGCGGACTGGCCCCTTGCTGGAAGTCGCTAGAAAAACGTCGCCGGAGGGAAGTCGGGGCCCGGCGGGAAGTCGGTGGCCGAAGGGGATGAAGGTGGCACATGACGGCCGCTCTTGCCCCAGATCGGTTTCTGGGCAGATGAAGGCGTTAAACACAGACAAAAAAAGAAGGGGCAGTGTTTCGGCCAGAGATGGCAGAGATTCGGATTGCTGTTTCCTGAAACATGGATGTGGATAGAACATTTTGCTACCAGAGTTTGTGTCTTGAAAACCCAACCTCACCTTTCATGGAATGCCGGGCCATCGAACTGATGGTTGGCTTGCTGGGGATTTTTGTTGATCCGTTGGAGCGCCGCCCAAGCTTCAATTCACCTGTTGGGTAGGTGTCCCTAAGTCAACAGTTCATTCCGGGAACCACTTTGGCTCGGCTTCCTTCTAATTGGTTTGGAGCCCGGTGGTTTGGTGTTCCGGTGTGGGAAACCCCTTTTACCCTTTGCAGGAACCAGAGCTTCAAATCATCCAAACCGCCAACCCAAAATCACCAAAGGGTTACCTGCGTTTGTAAGCCTGAATAGTCGTAGGATCCAACCACCTCCCAAGTCACCCGGGCCCCTACTCACCAACTAAGGCTTACCTGAGAACACAGGCTCCACCAAATAAACAAGGGACATAGGTATGCGAAACTAGTGGGAACCAAGCCCAATAAGTGTATGGTTTGGGGCACATGGTGTTGTCACGTTGGTGTTGTTACGTTCAAACCAACGGGGGTACCTTCTTTTTGTTCCGACCCAGGCTGGAGACCATCCTCGGAATCCCCCACTCCCGGGTCTTGGAGCGTATCCAGCACCCCTTGCTCACCATGACAGCCAGGGCCCCGAAGAACGACTTGTCGCGAATTCGCTTCTGGCGGTTGAAAGGTGGGGGCAAGTTGTCTAAGATGGTTTTCCACTGCCCCCAAAACCACGGTTTGCAGGGGTTGAATGGGATGTACAATCACTTGTTAGCCACTACATCAGGGCTACGTGTGTGTGTGTATATATATATATACACACACCGATTTCCCATGGGGGTAGTGGTTTGGGGTACTGGAAACCACCTTGGATAAACAGCATGAAAACATCTGATCAGCGTCCCTTGAAACGTGATAAGAGATGCATTGAGCATCGACATATGCAGTGCAATGTTACGCAGGCATGTGCAAGCAATAGAACCCTTTGTGCACAGGAAAACAAAACAACTGTCCAACCCTTATTAGCCCGAGTTTGAAACCGTATGGGCCTCTTTCTGTACGAATATACATTGCCAGACCTTAGCTTACCTTTTCAACACTGTTGTCTTTTGGTTTTCCCCATCTTCCCTGCAACCACCAAACAGTCAACCTTTTGCGGGGGGCAGTATCTCTCTCTCTCTCTCTCTGTAATGTGTATTATATATATTAAATTATATGGATGCATGCGTGTTTTTTCAACCACATATGTATATATGTTTTCATCACGATACACACACAACGATACCTTCATTCTATGTATACATCCCACTTGCCCAGTGGCGCCCTTTCTTGGTTGTTTTTAATTCAACCAAGAACCATCGGATGCCTTGTTTTGCCCATGGAAGTCCGTGGGCATCTGAGACACGGATTTCTGGATGGTCAAATGTGGCCGCTTGCTCTGTTTCCACCGGTAAAAAACCGATCTCCACACGCACCCACCTGCCATTTGCTCTATTTCCACCGGGGAAAAATAACAAATCGGCGGCGTGGCGTCTGAGGCCGTGAGCCTGGCCTCGTGCTTCCTGCACTGCGTGCTGCGGGTGCCTGGGCTTCCCACCATGCAGGCGCGATGTTTGCGGCCGAGTCGCTGAGTTGGATCTTCATCGGGAGGGTACCTGTGGCACCTGAAACAAAAAGTGTCTTGGAGGGATGCCCTTTTAGTAAAGGGGGGGCAATATTTATGTTTTTGCGAACATGCAGGTGTGTGTGTGTGTGTGCGTGTGCGTGTGCGTGTGCGTGTGGGTGTGGGTGTGTGTGTGTGTGTGAGTGTGTGTGTGTGTGTGTGAGTGTGTGTGTGTGTGCGTCTGTTCTGTGCGTCTGTTCTGTGCGTCTGTTCTGTGCGTCTGTCTGTGCGTCTGTCTGTGCGTCTGTCTGTGCGTCTGTCTGTGCGTCTGTCTGTGTGTCTGTGCGTCTGTCTGTGCGTCTGTCTGTGCGTCTGTCTGTGCGTCTGTCTTCTGTCTGTGCGTCTGTCTGTGCGTCTGTCTGTGCGTGTGTCTGTGCGTCTGTCTGTGCGTCTGTGCGTCTGTGTGGCTGTGTGGCTGTGTGTCTGTGTGTCTGTGTGGCTGTGTGGCTGTGTGTCTGTGTGTCTGTGTGTCTGTGTGTCTGTGTGTCTGTGTGTCTGTGTGTCCGTGTGTCCGTGTGTCTGTGTGTCTGTGTGTCTGTTTGTCTGTGTGTCTGTGTGTCTGTGTGTCTGTGTGGTTGTGTGGTGTCTGTGTGTCTGTGTGTCTGTGTGTCTGTCTGTTTGTCTGTGTGTCTGTGTGTCTGTGTTTGTGTATTTGTGTGGTGTGGGTGTGTGGGTGTGTGTGTGTGTGGTTTGTTGCCACTCATCCATAAATTAAACCACATCTGCACAGGGGGCAATAGCCACCAAGCTTGGCTGTCGATTCGGCGGGTTTGTGAGTTAGCTGAAGTGGATCTCTGAAGGCCTCCCATGTTTCTTTCTTGGACATAGAAACCAAGAGTGAACCCGGCATGTTTGTCCCGAAACGTGCAGCCTGACAGCCTCCTAATGGATCTAGGCGGAATTTGTGCCCAACAAAGGCGTCCTTTCGTTAGATGCGCCGGCAAAGAAGCTGGACATATTCGGACATCTCGCAGGAAGATAGGTGACCCGAACGTACCCTCCCACTCAGTGGGATTCTATGGTGTCTTAGTCCTTTTCCTTCAATGCCCCCACGTGCTGAGTGTCTAGAGCCATGCAGGGTGCCCACAACCACGGTAAGCATGGTAAGTGTCATAGGGTGAGTAGGTTACTGCCCACGTAGTCAGCTGCCCATTTAGGAGGCTTGGGCCAGCAGGGTTATGGTACATCTGGCATCGTTTCGCTTTATTGTTACCAGAGCGAAAAAACTCAACAAGGGCCCTGACGCCCAATGTAAATGTTCTATGGGGGGATCCTCCTCTTGAAGTGCGCCTGCCCCATCATATGCTCCTTTGTCTAGGTAACCGTGAATCAACACAATTCTAGATCTACACCCTGCTCATTGCGCGCACGCTGGCTTTCACTTGCAAGTAGTTTGCACACGTGGCCAACTATCTGGTAACTTGGCAAACTAGGTGACTGCTCTGCTCAGACCGCATGCGTTGCATGACGGTGATTTCCAGGTCGATTCACACTGGGCAACTTAACCCCATATTAATCAACCTCTGTTTGTTAATAAGGGGGTGTTCCTGGGTTTAGGCTGGAATCATCACGTTTGGGGGGAACCACCCCTCTATAAACAAACAGGGGTTGATTCATACGGGTGTGGCTGAAAATGAAAATCAGGGTTCACATCACCCGCACCCCGAAAGAAACGTCCGTCTCAGGTCCACACGCTGCTGGGCTCGGGTCCGCCTCCAGCAGCGGAGGGCGGAGACGTGGGACCTCAATTGGTTCTGAACCAGTTGCCCAGAGGATTCCGCCTTCTTTCTTTTTAACAGGATGCGCTCTGGGCGTCTGAGTTGAGGTTACCCAATTGAAGGCTAGTTGCCGAAGGGGAGACCAAAAGAAAGCCTGCGTTTTTGTTGGGAGGCCTTGTTGGACCATGTCTTTGCCATGAAGTGGATGTTGCATCATTACACATCCTTTCGATTGAGCGTTCAACCACGAGAAAATCTAGGTTGGAAGCACCAAACATGACGTGTGTTACAGTTTACGATCTTTCGGGATAGGATTATAGTGCTGCTCTGTGATACGATTTCCCTGCCAAGATGTGTCCTGGTGCTGTGTTTTTTGTGTGTTTGATGGAACTCTTTATCAGTTTCTCTTTCTGTTGGGAGGGTATGGGGCCGGTGTGGGGAAAAAATCATCCACAAGGGAACCGCACGTTTTAGTCCATACAATATATTTCCATTTACCAGGGCCCCATGTTGGGTACCAATTTCTGACCCACACCCATATTGTCCCCGTGAGATCCATGGGTGCTGCCAGGGATTCGAAGGTTCGGGCAACCGCACCACAAGCTGTTTGAAGCGTTTTAGGGATAGCTGGGGCCTGCATGAAGTTGTCATTGTCATGCTGTGAGGCCCAAGTTCAAAATGAGTTTGACCTCGAGAGCCTGCAGTCCCAGGTTTGAGTCTGCTGCTTGTCTTCCGCACCAATTCGGCGTATCAGAGATTCCAGGACGACCGCCGCCTGTCACGACACTTTGCTGGGGCAATGCACCGAGAGCGTGCGCAAAGACGAGCTTCAGCGACCGTATTGGGGTACATGCTTACTGCATGGAAGGTAGGGGTATATGTGTGTGTGTGTGCACGTGCGCGTGTGCGTGTGTATTTGCGTGCGGCGTGAGTGTGCGTACGCGCGTGTGCGTGGGCATGCGCATGTGCATGTATGTGTGTTCAGACACTACAAGGCAGTAGCAAGTCTCCTTTTCTGATCAGAAGAGGCACCAGGATTTCAGCGCTCACTTGTTACAGCTTTCGCGCTGCCAATATATAAATATTAGCTACCACTAAAAGGGTCGGACCAATAGATATGCATTCGGGTGGAATAGGGTCCAACACCCCCAAAAAACAAAGGCGAGTCTTTAAAACGAAGGCTGTTTATTGTGTGTAGCTTGCTTACGCAATAAATTATTTGCCTCCCTAGCATTTTAGGCTCTGAGTGCTGTATTTGTCCGAAGTGCTGGAGAAAAGCGCCTTGTTCGCCTTCCATTTGATTCGCAAGGCTGTGGAAGAAGAAGGCCAGCAGAAAGGCCGCTTGTGCAAGCTGATGTTCCATTTTGATACTGGCAATCACTTTCGCTCTTACGCAGGGGCATGCAACACAATGGTCCATATCCCAGCGCAGTGGAAACAACCTTGTGTGACGAGATTTCTGGTGGAAAAACATGGAAAAGGACCCTGCGATAGTCAATCTTTTCACAAATCAGGAAGTTTCTGCAGCAGGCGCACCCGCGTTTCTTTGCTGAGGATGAGCATCAAGTGGCCAATGCCTTGCAGCCTCAGAACTCGAAGTGGGTGATCAAAGTGCCAGAGCTTCCTGTGCAACGGCCAGCTGCCAAGCTGCTTGCTATGCACAACTGCCACATTAACTGCGCACCACAGCTGCTGGTTTGAGACGCTTGTGGAGGAGAAGCGGCCAGATTTTTTGGAGTGGAAGACAGGCTACTTTCAAGACCCGAGCTGGCAGCGGGCACCATTGGAACTCAGCTGCGAGAACGCCGTTGCCGGAAAGCACCAAAGCCAAAAGCACAGGTCCAGCAGACGAAGGCGCATGCAAAAGCGGCCATTGCACACTGTAGCAAGGTTGCGTCAGCGAGACGAGAAGCACTTAGCGAGCCGTTTGGCCAAGAAGAAATGAAAGCGCGGGGCTTGCAAAGAACAAGCTGCTGTGCTAGTGACCCGAGCTTGTGATAAAGAGCCCGCTAAGAGAGATTGGTGATTTCTGAGCTATACCTCAGCACATCGTTTATCACAAGACTGCTAGCGACAAGGCTACCTTTCGCAAAGCAGCCTTGAAGCGTTGAAAAGGAGGAACTTGTCAAAACGTAGCTAGGAAAGTCACCTATCCCTGTCTTCTCAACTAAAAGAACGGAGCAAAAACAAAGAACAAAAAAAACGAGGTTTGGCAGCTCCTCTCTGGCAGCTTTTATGTCTCCAAACTCGCAGAAAGTCTTTGCAACTTGCAGCTCTTCACAAAGTGTATCTCTGTTGCTGATGCGCAGGATACTTCTCTATGAAACATATCCTGAATCTGTCAACCTTTCTCCTAGCACCCGGTGTTTCCCGTTGTTTTTTGAAAGCTCCGTTTGGGCCCCCAGGTCCGGACTGGATGGGATGCGCGGCTCCTTCTCCCAGAAAACCATTGCTTCTCATTGTGAACTGGGACGGACTTGTGGGGGGAAAAGGAGCGCATATTTGCATATGAGCTACCGCCAAAACCCTAAGGCGCGAAACTGGAATATCTCAGCCTTACTCGCCTTCGGTTTTGAGGCCTTCGGTTTTGAGGCCGTTTTGTCATTCGTGCGCTTGATGCGCAACAGATTTGTTCATGCCTTTGCGAAAAAAAGGATAACTCAGACGATCGAAAAGTCCATCTCCGAAAGGGGCCGTGCCATTGGGAAAGGCGCCACACCACAGCTCTTCTCATACGTTGTACATTCGACAAGTCTATGTCCGAAAGTGGCCGTGCCCTTGGTTCTTGCCATGGGAAAGGCACCTGGGCTCTCCTCGCTAGAGTGCAACAACTCTTCTCACACGTTCGGAAAGTCCGTCTCCGAAAGTCGCCGTGCCATTGGGAAAGAAAATGGGATTAAACTGGGGTCTCCTCCAAGACTATTGTACGTTTTAGGGTAGACTCAATATGTGTGCCCCAGATGGGGCCCAAGGAAACCGCGTCGAAGTAATTCTGTACATCTGCTTTAACGTGATTGGAGCGCTGCACGCCAGGAGGGCCGAAAGATCTGGAACGACATTCTGGACAAATGCCGCGACATCTCCTTGACAGTGTCCCTCTTCAGAAAAGAGGCGGGGCTTTCAACAACCCGGCCGGGCTCGCCATTTGTTTGTTGTTTTTTGCAAAGAAAAACACCCCCCTGAAAGAGTGACTCTACACTTCAATTGGCTTCCTCTGTTTCCGCAAAGACAGGTCAGACCCTGATGCTGGAGATGCGCGTCGCGTTATGGTCGGGGTGTCCCCTTCAGGTGCAGGGCGACCACGGTATAGCGTTGAAGCAAGGACGGTTGAAGCATGTTGCAAGATCCGACCCAAAGAGCGTATCTTGTCTTATTCCGATTCTTTTGCACTTTCCCAATAAATGCTCCCATGAAGAGACTTGCCTTCCAGTGTTTGGGGGTCCCTGAAAAAGGAGAACAGTGAATTGTGAATTGAGCAGGCAGTTGAGGGCAGTGGTTCGCATTTAGAAAGGCTCAGTCATGCTCAGTCACTTCGAACCGCTTCCGCACTTCCGTTTTTTGTTTTGCCTTCGGTCAAGAAAGATCAAATGTTGCGGTTGCTTCTTTTTCTGAGATTGGTACACCAGCCCTACACCCGCACTAAAGCCCCAACCCAGCCCGAATCCTAAGGAACACCAGATTGGATCTTTGGACGAACCAGCCAAAAAGACCCAAATTCAATTGGAGGCGCAAATGACAGGTGGGGTTTTGTCCAACCCCCTTTGGCCATGTTCGACCCTTTGAGGAATGAGTTCTCATATTTAAGCCAAAAAACGCCCATGATCGAGCTCATACCAGCGGCTCATTCATGGACACACACACACATCCAGCCTCATTACTCATACGGCACATTCAGGATGGTAGGCTGAACATGGTGGGACAACCCGTCAGACAACTGCATTTTTTAGGAATCCAAAGGAATCCACGAGGCATTCCCTTCCAGACTTTGAATCAGGTTGTTTGCTGAAGAATTTTTTCGTCCAAGGGACAACTTTGCTTGGCCCTCAGAGCCGTCAACATATCCTCAGCGTCAAGCGGATGTGCTAAGTTCTGGTGGGGAAAACAATATGTACACACATATATATATATATACATATGAGATATATGTATATATATATATGACATATGTAAATATATATATATATACATATAAGTCGCCAGTTCTTTGCTGGCTCTTGACGCGACTCGTCCGCCAGGCAGGCCCTCAGCGCGTGCGCATCATTCGCTCCTCCGCTCCGAGCTGTGAGAGAGAGAGAGAGAGAGAGAGAGAGAGAGAGAGAGAGAGAGAGAGAGAGAGAGAGAGAGAGCCCCGGCGCGAGTGGGTCCTCTGCGTGCAGACGTTCTGGGCCTTCGTCAAACTGTCCATCATCCACTGCTGGCTGTGGGCAATGCCAGCAATTCTTGGACGTGTGGACCAAAAGCCAACTGTGCAAGCCAACTAAAACTAGGTCCCCCAGCTAGGTGCCCTTTCTCACCAACTTTTTTGGGAGGGTTCCCCTACTAAAATAGACTACAAAAAAGGTACCCTTTTTCTAACCTCTCTACTGGAGGAGTCTTGAAATGGTTTGCACCATGATGTGGGTGAATTATAACGGCCTCACACGACCTCACCCCAAATGGTGGTTTGTTCGGGGAATATTCCAGCAAACACCTTTGTATGTGTCAATGTCAGGCATGATCCCAGGTCTTTTGGACCTATGAAATTAGCTGCACCGCCGCTTGTAATTTGAATGGCAGGAGTGTGTTGCAGGAGCGGCCGCGCAAGTCAAACATGGGGCCACGCAAGTAAAGCGCAAGTGAAGCGCAAGTGACGCAGTATCATCATCATCATCATCATCATCATCATCATCATCATCATCATCATCCGCATGGTCGAAAGAATCCGGAAGATGGCTAAGTTGTCGCGCAAGTCGCGCGCAAGTCGCGCACAAGTCGCGCGCAAGTCGCGCGCAAGTCGTAGATGCCTTGGATCAGGAGTGGCCCATTTCTGTAGTTTGCATCTTCTTTGTTTCTGCAGATCCCAGCAATGAGTTGCAGCAGCAGCCAGCAGCAGCAGCAGCAGCAGCCAGCAGCAGCAGACGCAGCAGCAGCAGCCAGCAACAATTTGCAGCAGTGTACACACCTGAGACCTCACACACTTAAGGGGCATGTTTTTGGGGGACCTCACTCTTATGGAGACCGCCGCTTGGATTTGCAATGAAAACATCCTGGGATAAGAGTTTTAATACGGCTTTTTTTTCCAGCTCGGTTGGTGAAATATTATAATTCACCCAGAATGCTATCAGTACGTATTCAGTTATACCAAAACGGAAACCGCTTTCTGGTGGATTCAAAAACCATGAGAAAAGATGTTCGCGCGATACTTCCGAGACATGTCAGTCGGTGTTGTTCCCCGCGGTAGAGCCAGCTTGTTTCGCTGACTCTCTTGATTAACCATCCCAAAGCATTCATACACATGTGTATATCTTGTAACCCCGCTCCATTCAAACCCAAGGCTGGTGCTTTCATTTGCTAGACCTAGTACACTGGAAGCAACACAAAGCAACTCTGCAAACACAATGCACGGCTTAAGATCTTTAAGTTTATAGTGGACCCACACACACAGAAATTGCAAGCAACTTGTTTGCACAGAAACCATGCAGCAATGAATATGCTCCTGTGTCTGGCGGCTTTACCTTTTTACTGTTCCCCAGAAAAGTAAAAACAACAACAACAACAACAACAACAACAACAACAACAACAACAACAACAACAACAACAACAACAACAACAACAACAACAACAACAACAACAACAACAACAACAACAACAACAACAACAACAACAACAACAACAACAACAACAACAACAACAACAACAACAACAACAACAACAACAACAACAACCAACAACAACAACAACAACAACAACAACAACAACAACAACAACAACAACAACAACAACAACAACAACAACAACAACAACAACAACAACAACAACAACAACAACAACAACCACAACCAACAACCACAACCACAACCACACCACAACCACAACCACAACCACAACCACAACCACAACCACAACCACAACCACAACCACAACCACAACCACAACCACAACCACAACCACAACCCACAACCACAACCACAACCACAACCACAACAACAACAACAACAACAACAACAACAACAACAACAACAACAACAACAACAACAACAACAACAACAACAACAACAACAACAACAACAACAACAACAACAACAACAACAACAACAACAACAACAACAACAACAACAACAACAACAACAACAACAACAACAACAACAACAACAACAACAACAACAACAACAACAACAACAACAACAACAACAACAACAACAACAACAAACAACAACAACAACAACAACAACAACAACAACAACAACAACAACAACAACAACAACAACAACAACAACAACAACAACAACAACAACAACAACAACAACAACAACAACAACAACCACAACAACAACAACAACAACAACAACAGCAGCAGCAGCAGCAACAACAACAACAACAACAACAACAACAACCTGTCTCCCCATGAAAGTACACGCAACACTCCCAAAAGTACATAAACCACTCATTGTTCACTTCAGCGAGTTGTTTTTGTTTTGCCATGTTTACTTTCCCCACTAAAAGTAGACAAGCAAACAAGTAAACACTTAGGACCCAGACAAAGTAACAAGTAAATCTGGCAACAGTAAACACTGTCCCTCTGCAGGGAGTGTTACTTTTTCAAAGCGTTTGCAATGAAGGGAAATGTAAAAGGACAAACCACATAAAGCAGACTGTTAGGCCCCGTGAAAAGTGAAACACCCCACAGTATTTGTGCTTTACTTCCCCGCGCATTAAACAAATACTTTTGTGTTTGCTTTTACTAGGGAAAGTAAAACATAAAACTGCCTCAAGTAAAACACGTTTGACTTTTGCAGTGTTACTTCAATTTTTATGCGGCCAGAAGTTGCATGCTTAGCCACTAGTAGTAAAAGCTTAGACTGCCACAAGCAGACACGTGCCCTCTTTTGCAGTTGTTTTTGCATTTGTGTTTCACTTTACTGGCTCTACAAAGCGGAAAGCCGAGGCTAAACAAAGCAAAGCCATGTTAGAGTCGGCAATGCTCAGAAGATGCTGAAGTATTCCTCAACTGCTAGACCAGGAATCCAGAAGTCAATCAATGCAACTGGCGTCCAAACTAAAAGCATAAATGCTGACACGAATGCTGCTCCTAAACTCATAAGTCATTATTGTTCAGAAATATTACTCAAAACATACTGAAGTACTACAGCAACAAAACTGAGCTTACAAAAGCCCGTGCCGGAGTAGGCTGCATGGGCAAGAAAAGAAGTTTTGCACTCATACATGCCTGAATCAGCGATATTAATTCAAAGCTTAACCAGTATTGATCTGATGCTATGACTAGTCCGAAGAACACGCGCTACTAAGAACTCCTGCGCAAATCTTACTCATCCGTTACTAGAGTAGAAAGACACAAACAAACCAATGCAAAACACGTTCCAAACAACAAGAAGCATTGTCAATGCTCAATGAATTACTCCACCCACGAAGCCCGGACCAAAGTTCAGCCAGAGAAAGAGCTTTGCCCAGCAAATATGGATATTAAACATAATTTAAGAGAAATGGGGCGAACCCTGTTCTGGTGCAAGATGATCCATGAACTTGGCATGGTATCCACAGGGTGTTGATGTTGCATGTTTTTTTGGTATGCCAAAAGGAAGTGACCGTTTTGCGAAGCAACCCACGAAGCAGCAAACCCAGCTCACCAAGCCCCCAACCCCTTCAACCTAGCCCCGTGCAGGAAAAGGGCGAGCCACTTGTTTTCACCTGTCCAATCGGCTTGGAGCGAATCTGCGGGTGAGCCTGAAAGCGGAAGAAGATCATTGTGCCCACTTGCGACAGGGTTTCCGAGCCATGTAACCCTTTGTGGGGTACCTCCAAAAAGTTGAATTTGATCCTTTCAAAGCAACCCGCCAGTACGTTGATCAACCTTTGATTCGGGGAAATCCAGTGACCCCTGTAGCAACAAGTTTCACTTTTTGCCGTGTCACCACCATTGAAAGCATTCGTATCGCTAACCATTCGTATCGGAGACAATGGGCAGAAGGCTTTGATGCTTTGACCCTCTGACCTGGTCCCCCCAAGAGATTCGTCGATGCATCCATTCAAAACCTGCTTCAGCGAAGCTGCACAAAAAAGTACTCCTTGAGACCGTGTCGACTCATCCGGGTTTACAAATCTGAAACGGTTGCCGTGAATGGTGTCCGCTTCGGTGATCCGCTGTGGCAAAGTCTCACCCGAGGTCCAAGCCTTCCCCTTCGCCATGCAGGAGCATTGTCGAGCCAAGGAGCGCCGTGTCGCGTGTCGAAGCCTCGTGTGTTTGCGTGTACGATCCTTTGGTGAAGGTTTTCCAGCTTGCGAAGAAGACACGCGTGATTTAGTTGCTCGCGCGTTTTTGGATGGTCGTTTTCCCCAGTACCGACTCTCAATCGATGGCTGCGATGTCAGTTCTGGCCGAGCAGGGAGCCCCTGGCCCAGAAGTCTTCGCCAAGCCGAGGACGCCGGGTCGCTCAAGGCCAACAGTTTGTTGGGGATGTCTTTGGCAGTCTCTATGTGTGTGTGTGTGTGTCAGCCAAACTCAAAAAGGGCGATATCCACAGACACAACTTTCGGGGTCACGTGACCACTGAATCTGGCGGCTCGGTCCCATGCAATTTCAGGCGCCGGCTTAAGGCATCTTGCTTTTGAGATGGGAAAATGTTGCCGGTGAGATCTTCAATGTGATGCCGGCTTCTGGTGCCAAGTACATGGCTCTTCGAAACCAGTTGGCAGTTTTCCGAAATTTTCGTGTGCTGCCTTCCCGGGGCATAGAAGCTGAAGAGGACGTCTTCACTCTTTGAGGATCCGTGTACGTGGACTCCCGTCCGAATCAACACGGCCCTTAAACGAAGAATCATTTTGCAGAGGAAGACTGCTCTAAACCTTCCCCCCTACTAGTAATTCCAGACCCCCTCCAAATATATTGTATATAAAATATATATATATATTTATTTATTTGTTTATCATATTATATTATATCATATATTATACATACCCTGGGATCCCAAAGACCTTGTATATGAAGGTCTCGCCTGAAAGGCCTGCCCCCAGGATCCTGCCGAAAAAAGACCGGGGTTTTTGAGGTCTCAAGTTTTGGATGATTTTAGACACCCTCCATAAACATGATTTGGGCATGTGGACATTGAGACTCTCGCTCGCTCTTGCTGCACAAGATGATTACGCATATATTCATTGGGCACACAATTTGGCCAGCATGATCAGGGCATGGCCATTCATGCGTACAGGGTTTTCAGGACTTGGAGCATTCTCAAGCTTGCAATTCAGTTTAGCCCTCAAAACACAGCACGGCTATGCACGGCTGTTCTTGTTTTGCATGAAGCGCGCTCTGGCGACGGACCAGCGATGGCTGCTGGAGAAGCGGCAGCGCCAAGTAGAAGAAGGCGCCAACCGTTGCGTTGAATTATTGGGAATCTCCCGGTTGGTGCAAAGAAGCATCAGGTTGCGGGCAAACACGGACTCCCACTCAGCTCGTTGTTTGTCATTCATTCCCTAAACAAAGGGGCCCGGGCCCAAACTTGGGGGTGGGGGCGCAATCACGATATATATGTTTTTTTAGCGGGGTTTCCATGCATAAGCCAACGGCGCCCGCAAAAAACGGACAGGCCTAGATGGGGCCCTGGGAGTTGCATGCATTTGGCATTCACCGAGCGCCCGCTATCATCGCAGCCAGCTGCGAAGCACAGCTCGTGGGTCAGCCTGCCTTGCGCCATGGAGGTGGCACCGGTGGGGGCTTTGAGGGAGAACGAAGCTTGGGGAAATCTGATCATGAGCATTTGGGCAGGACATGGCAACGGGATTGTCTCAAAAATTGGGACCCCTCTCTAGAAGGTTCCCCCTAAGATGGTCCCTACAGCAGCGGGAAAAGACGACACGGTGATTTGTTTTGCGGCGCCCCTATTGTTGCATGTTGTTTGCCGGCCCATATCGCGTTTCCCAAACCAAGGATGAGCCCATGATCGTTTCCTCGGTGTCGGTCATGGTGGAGTTCCTGGAGGTTGCCTTCTCCACGATGGAGGTGAATTGGGAGGCCATCAGGGCGGACAAGGAGCTTTGGGTTACCTTCAGGGCAGTAATCCTTACACGGCGCAACTTCTTTTGAAGCAGTTTGTGATTTGGGGGCGGTCTATATGCTGGTTGATCCCAATTCCAACCTCAAGCGTGCACACCCTATAGGAGAACAATGGCCGGTCTCTTGTCCCGATCGCTGAAAGCAGTGTGATGGCTGGGCAGGTCTACCAGAAAGACGCCCCTTGTCGATGTGTATTAGCATCCCAGAAGCCCGGCCGGGGATTTTTAACGGTTTTTGATTTGTTGGAGTCTCCCGCAATTCAATTGGCCAGACATTCACCCAGAGGTAGAAACCAATTTAAAGCTTTTATGGTTTGAACTGAAATTTCGCACATGCTGAAATGCAGATCTCGATGTTGGTGTAGCCGTAGTCAAGCTCCGAAGCTCCGTCATCACGGACAGGGCAAGGCTCAGTGAGAGAGCTCGCGTGCTCTGGGCCAAGTTGGAGGCCAATCCCAATGCGTGAACGCGTCACATCCGAGCGTAGCTGGGAAGTGCTTGCCGCACCAGCTGCTCTTCTCCGTAAGCACCCGCAGCCCCTCTCCTTCCAATTCCGGAAAGGACCAGCGACAGGGTGGCCTCGTCTGGCACCCCCTGCGCCCAGCTCCGAGCTCGCTGCGCTTGCATTCTGCGGCATAGCCGTCTCCCGCAGCAGGTGATCACCGCGCGCTGTCACTATTTGGGATCTAGGCCTATAAGGAATTAATGATCATTCAAATTGTGGCGGTCCTGCGTTTGCCAAATGGCCCTTTATGGAATCCCCCCCCCAATAGACCCTAGGCTTGGTGAAGTGTAGGGTTAGGGCCAAATTGGCAATCGCAGAATGAGCAGATCTTACACCACAAGCGACCAAGACCTAACCCGATCATATATTCTTTTAGGGTCCAGGCATTGTGTGTATTGGGTCCCCTGTGATGGTTGATCCTATATTCAAATTTAAAGAAATGTATTCAATGAAAAATTAAGGTTGAGCGCAACTTCGACCTGATCCTTCACACGCTCATCAAGTACAAGCTGTCCCTGCCCCCGTGCCGTGTCTTCTCTGCACCCGGCTTGCAATAGCAACACTTTGGGTGATGGGGCGGCTTGCATTTGGCCCTTCGTTTTAGCTGGCTCGTTTTGATGCGGCCAAGTATATAAAAATCGTCATCTTATTCATGATGGTTAGGAGTCCTTCAGAAAGCTGAACATCATCCATGGGATCTGGGCCGACCAGGGAACAGGCCGCGCCGGCAAGAAGCGGGCAAAAGATACTCTGTTGCAAGAGCACCGAATTTTCTCACAAAACGCTATTTAGATTTGAACTGGTTGGCCTTACAAGAAATAACAGCTAGCATTTGGTGTACTTCCACAAATGCACAACAAGGAGTGGGCTCAAGTCCAAGGTGGTCGGTTGAGGGCGCTAACAGCCTACACTGTGCGTATGGCGCGAAGGAGCCAGGGTGCCAGAACTAGCAAGCTGCAAGCGCTCAAAGATTTGATCTTGGAGATCATTGAAGACTAGCTGCATTATTGCAGATATTTGTTTTTTTTTTCAAAAACAACGCGAATAAACCATTCTGACATGCCCCGAACCCAAGGCAGTTTTGGGGCGATGACACATGCGTGCAACCCAAGGATGCTGAGAGGCGAGACAAGCCCTGCGGAGTTGCTGCAGCTTGACAGTTTAGCCCTCTTTGACCCATATAGTACAGCTTGGTCGGGTTGACACAGATCTCTAAAATATTGAACCAACAGCCTGATCCCGCTCGCTCAATTGAGGCTGACCCAGATGCTGAACCCGATCTACATGCTGGCGATGAGACGGGTGAGGATGTGGACATGGCCACGTTGTCTTCAAGCGGGTCGTCCGGGTCTCTTGGAGATGCGTTTTGGCTGCATAGTTCATTAATCAACAAAATCCTGCTAGGTCGTCATGTCTGTTTCTCAATAATAAATTAACCGCTAGCGGGAGATATTGGTGCACATGCACAGGAGCCGCACCCCAAACAACGGGAACCGGGAACCCTGGGATCTTTCCCGTTGCCCTGACACGTGGCCCCATCCTGGCGCCTGCGGAGGCTGCAGCGGAGCCGCCTGCAACAAAGCCAAAGGATGGGGAGGACTGGGGCCGATGGGGGGACTTGCCCTATATGGCCCATGGGCCGGGTAATTAAGAGAGCAATCTGGTGCCAAAAAGTGGAAGGTGGGCCTGGAAGATCCTTATCCGGGGCACCCTGCAAAACTTTGCACACACGTGCATCAAATAGCAAGTTTAGCATTTTGTTTCTGATCGGACATAGGAGCCCGAATTCTGTAAGAGGGGTCGCTCTTGTTGAATTGAAAACCTGCAGCACTAAAATGAAAATGGTGTGGAGCTAGGGGGCTAAACTTGCTTCAACCCCACCGGTACCTTAACGCAGTTGAATGTGCGCTTCCACCAACATGGTTGCAACCTGAAAACGGCATGCTTGGTTGAAACTTGCAACGCACCGGTGCTGGAACTTTGCAAATATGAAAGATCATAACTATGCACGAAACTGCCCAGCGCGGAAACACGTTGCAGGAGGAGCCAGCGGAGCAAGCCGAGCCAGCGGAGCTAGCCGAGCCGGAGCTAGCCGAGCCAGCGGAGCTAGCCGAGCCAGCGGAGCCAGCGGAGCCAAAGGAGCCAAAGGAGCCAAAGGGGGGTTCCTTGGTGCCAGCCAGCAGCATTGCCCCGCCGCCTCTTGGCTTGCTTGTGCCCCGGGGCCTTGCTGCTCAATTGGATGAAGTGGCCAAGTTTGACCCGTCTATGGATTTGTGGGGAGAACAGGCCAAGATGAGGGCAAACAACAGAGAGCAAGAGAAACAGAAAACCAAAGGCCGTGGGAGGGGGAGAGGAAAAGGAAAAGGTCGTGGCAAAGGCAACGGGGGTGAAAGCACCACAGCTCCCGAAGACAGTGCGCCAGCCCCAGCAGCGCCCGCCCCAAGCACCCCGCCAGCGCGAGTGATGCCACCGCTTGTGTTCTCGCCGCAACAGGCGGCTCCTTTAGTCGCCCCAGCATCCACCGGAACAGCACTCAGCGAGGGTGAGGCAGCAGTTGCAGCAATGCTCGCGCGCAAGCAGGCCAGGGAGGGATCTGCGCCAGCAAAGCCCGCCAAGGCGAAGGCGAAGGGAAAGGCGCGCGCCAAGAAGGCATC